AAAAAAAAAAAAGAAAATGTTCTAAAACACATACACACAAAAAGAAACTGACAAAGAGGCAAAGCGGACATTGACTTGCAATCCAGGGGTATCCTGGCTTCTATGGGGGATAAACAGAGGGCACTGGAGAAATACAGAAAAGGGAGCTAAGGGGGAGGGGGTCGTGTAGGAAGGGAGGGAAGGGGGGTCAGAGAAGCCTTCCTGGTGGAAGTGGCTCCAGGCAGACAGACACAGCTGCAGGGCTCCCAGGCTAAGGATGAGTACTGACTTGGTCCAAAGAAAGGGAAAAGCGGGCAGGGAAGCCCGTGGGGAAGGGTGGGGAGCACACATGGGGGCAGCTCTGCAGAAGATGCAAGATGTAAGCGATTTCCACATTCATCTGAAACTAAGCTCCCACTGCTGCCTGTCTCTCTTCACTCTCAAACCAAAAATAACTAGCCTTGACAAGCTCTATAAATCAAAAGATGCAGGCCCAGTGGGGGTGGGGAGGGCTGCAGGAGGGCTTGGTGGCTCAGCCGCTCCCAGGCAAATGGACAACTCTGGGGTACTGGATGCTCTCAAGCACCTCACTCCACAGCCTCCGAGCAGCGTCTCTTGCCTTGTTTCTTTGTGAGTGGGTACAAAATCAAGAGCTAAATGACATGTAATATAATACAGAGAGCAAGTTGAGACCTCCATAGACAAGTGGTGGCTTCAAAAATGTTTTCTCTTCTGGGCCTAAGAGGTGTGCTCTAAGACTTTCAAATGGTCCTTCCACAACGAGAACTTCCTGTAAATCATGGTCTCTTAAAGTTTTCAGAAGTAGGTGCAGACTGGTAGTGAGAAACAGGAAGCAATTTAAGAGTTTGGCCATCAGTCCAGAGGATTAAGATGGTCCCATGTGAGGCTGTGTGCCACTCCCCCAGGGACACCCTCTCCTTCTTTCACAAGGGGTAAGAGATCCTGTTACAGAACCACGAGTGACAGAGAGCTGAGTTGTTTTCATCGTACCCAGGGAGAACGCACCTACATTTTTTCCCCCTTGTACATAAGGGATTAGCAAAAGTCAGCAAATGGCAACCTAATCCAGCGTGCAATCTTAACTGTTCATCAAAGTCACAAACTAAGTCTGAAGGAAGTTTAATGGACTGTGTTTCCACATTTATGTTTGCTAACCTCTACGTTGAAATCGGATCTGTTTACAGAAACAGACCTATGAAGCTTCCAAAATTGGGTCAATTCAAAATCCAATGACAATCCTTCAGTGTCTCAACACTCAGAAGTCAGCACAGGACACATGGACACTTGTCCTAATTCATCACTGTCCAGAAACCGTCAGCAGCTAGATTTTTCTATCATTCTTGCTCCCAACGTGGCTTTAGGTCGTCGTACTTTAAGGATTACAAACCCTGTTCTGCTATGCCCGCAGAACTCTGCAAAGCACAATCCACCCTTACACCACAAACAGGACCAGACCTGGGGAGAAATCAGCGTTGAGGCTGTGCACGCTTAGCTGGAGGCCGAATCCTGACAGATCTTTGTAGAACAAAGTGAAGCTGGACGAGGACAAACAGAAAACCACCCCACCCTAAGCGGCAGAGGCCAGTCTGTGAGGAATGATGGGCGGTGGGGCTGCACAGAGAGCAAGTCTTAGTCAGCTCCCAACGATTCCGTCTTAGGGGAGCTTTTTAATCTTCCAGTTTTCTGGGCTGGGAAATGTACACATCCACCCATGGGCACAAAGCTACCTAATAGAAACGCTGCCTAAGGTGTGGTGGGAAGGGGATAGATGGGGACGGGAACGGAAGATTGTTAACTATGAAACTGTTTTGACTTTTACATACGATGCATTCATTACCCTTTAGTGCTTATGTGAATATACTGTATAGACTCAAGTATAAGCCGACCCAAATAGCCACCAAGGTGCCTAATT